TCCTCTGACTGGACTCTGATGACAAAGTACGTGCCCCCTTGATGGTTTTGCAATTCATAAAACTTCCTCCAAGCCAGCTATGGGCAGGACTGAGTAAACAAGGTGAATCAAGATAGAAATAATGTAGAAAATCTGACATGACCAAAAGAATTCTATGGGACCATGTTAGGCTAGGTAATGCAAGGAAAATGAATCATTAGGAAAAAGGTCTGGGGACTTAGAGTGTTTCAAGAGCCCACCAAGATGTTAAGTATGTACTTCATCTAGGGAATATCTCTACATACAAAGTGCACGTGCACATTTCTCTCTCTCTCTCACACACACACACACACACACACACACACACACTACAAAATAGAAAAGGAAAACTAAAAAATCAAAGTAGTTTTTTATTTAAATATTTCCAACTACAACTCTACTTGAATTCAATTTAACCCAGATCATTTGGATTGTGAGCGCATTTTAATGTTTAAAACAATACGTAGCAAGGTCTTCCCAGATAGGAAGCAAATTTGGAGCTTGCTAAAATTTTTTAAAGTTCTTGAGCTTGATTCACTGAAGAGGGCAAAATTTTTAATTCAATTCAGACCAAAGAGTTTAAGTTTGTTCTGTTGCTAATGGCCGCATACCTAACAACAGCTACCAACTTTTTACTTTTATTTTTCTGTCCATCAGCTTGTTAATAAGTACCATTTTTAAGAATAACAGCAGCAAACAGAACCACAGACCCATAACCGTTAGAAGCATGATTGCCTGATAATGACTGTTTCACTCACACATGGTCCTGTCCTAGCTCTGGGGCAGACTGTCCTTAACCTCTGAGTCTTCAACTTCACATGTCAGCAGTCCCTGTGCTGCCTTTCAACTTGACATCAGTGGATTCCTTATGTTGACTGCTAGGCTTTCGTTCCTGCTGCAGAATTATAATGCCTTTCCCATTTCTTTCTTAGTTGATTTTTTCCCCAGAATTTACAATTTGCAAAAACAGATACATTTCCCGACAAATGTCTGCAAGGAATTTCTACATGGAAGCACTTACTAAATGATCACAGTTTCTTTTCTGTTTTTCTTTTTTTTTTCTAAACTTCAGCTTTACTAAGGTATAACTGACAAATAAAATTATAAGCTATTTAAAGTGTACACAGTAGTGATATACATATACATTGTGAAAGCATTCCCCCATCTAGTTAATTAACTCATTCACTAACTTATATTTATCTGTGTGTGTGTGTGTGTGTGTGTGTGTGTGTGTGTGTGAAAACATTTAAGCTCTACCCTCTTAGAAAATTTCAATTATACAATACAGTGTTATTAATTATAGCCACCATACATTAGATCCTCAGACCTTATTCATCTTATAGCTGAAAATTTGTACTCTTTTACCAACCTCTCCCTACTACCCCATCCCCAACCCAAGGCTACTTCTTATCTACTCTCTGTTTCTGAGTTTGACTTAGAAAAATCATATTTCTCGTGTAGGTGATATCATGCAATATTTGTCTTCCTCTGTTTGTCTTATTTCACATAGCATAATACCCTCAAGGTCCATTGTGTTGCCACAAATGCAGATTTTAGGTTTTTCCCATTACCAAAGATGTTCATATATATAATATATGAATTATATATGAACTATATATCTGTATAATATACATAATGTTTCCATATCTTGGCTCTTATGAATAATGCTGCAATGAACATGGGAGTGCAGAAATCTCTTTGAAATCCTGTATTCATCTCCTTTGAATATATACCCAGAAATAGAATTAATGAATCATATAATAGTTCCCTTTTGGGGGCACCTGGGTGGCTCAGTCAGTTAAGTGTCTGCTTTGGTTCAGGTCATGATCTCAGGGTCCTAGGATTGAGTCCCTCATAGGCTCCCTGCTCAGTGGGGAGCCTGCTTCTCCCTCTCCCTCTTCCACTCCCCCTGCTTGTGTTCTCTTGCTCTCTCTGTCAAATAAATAAATAAATAAATAAAATCTTAAAAAAAAAAAATGTGTTCCCTTTTTAAATTCTGAGAAACCTTACCATTTTCCATAGTGGCTGCACCAATTTATATTTTCACCAACAGTGTACAAGTGTTTCTTTTTCTCCACATCATAAACAACACTAATCTTTTGTCTTTTTAATGACAAACATACTTGACAGGTATGAGGTGCTAGCTCATGGTGTTAAAGATTGACATTTTCCTGAGGATTAGTAGTACTTGGTGCCTGACATGTGTCTGCTGGCTATCTGCATATCTTCTTTGTAAAGATGTCTGTTTGGGGGCGCCTGGGTGGCTCAGTGGGTTAAGCTTCTGCCTTCAGCTCAGGTCATGGTCTCGGGGTCCTGGGATCGAGCCCCGCATCGGGCTCTCTGTTAAGCGGGGAGCCTGCTTCCCCCCTCTCCTGCCTGCCTCTCTGCCTACTTGTGATCTCTGTCTGTCAAATAAATAAATAAAATCTTTTAAAAAAATGTTTGGTTTGTCTTCCTTTTTTAAATTTGATTGTTAGGGGGGCGCCTGGGTGGCTCAGAGTGTTAAAGCCTCTGCCTTTGGCTCAGGTCATGATCCCAGGGTCCTGGGATCGAGCCCCACATCGGGCTCTTTCCTTGGTGGGGAGCCTGCTTCCTCCTCTCTCTCTCTGCCTGCCTCTCTGCCTACTTGTGATCTCTCTCTGTCCAATGAATAAATAAAATCTTTAAATTTGATTGTTAGGGGGATTTTTTTTTTTTTTTTTTTTTTTTTTTTGCTACTGAGTGGTGTCAGTTCTTTATTTATTTTGGTTATTGACACCTTATCAGACATTTGATTGGCAAATATTTTCCCACATTGTGTAGGTTGCCTTTCCATTTTGTTGATGGTTTCTTTTGCTGTGAAAAAGCTTTTCGGTTTGATGTAGACCTGCTTCTTTATTTTTACTTTTGATCTCAGATCCAAAAAAACCATTACTAAGACTGATGTCAAATGGCTTCACTCCCATGTTTTCTTCTAGTGGTTTTATGGTTTCAGTAGTTCTGTTCAAGTCTTTAATCCATTTTGAGTTGAAGCTACCTGCTTTCTAAATGTGTTAGTAATCCACCATAAGATCAGAACAAAGAGGATTAGTCTAATCCATTGTCACCACTGGAAAAAAGTCACCTTCCACATTTTGCCAAAAATGTATGAATGAGTTTGTCCAAAATCTCCAGAAAACAAACATTTCATATGTCTAAGAGAAGTATATGTTTTTCTATTTTTGAGATTTTAGGTAGAATAAATATCTTTGTAAAAAAAAAATTAAAAATAAAACCCAAAAACATTAAAGGTAACTGAGCAACTTCACAACACAATATAGATTCACAACATTCAATGCTGTGAATGAATAATATTCACAACACAAGATAGACAACATTGGAAATTATGATATTTTGGGTCCTATATTATTTGCCTTTCTGCTTTGGCTGGTAATAATACACCAAAGGTAACCATAAAAGAACCATGTATATATGATCTTGCTAGTTTTTCAGTGTCAGATGAAATTCTAACTCTCCTTGACTCCACATAAAGGTTAGGTGCTCATTCTCACTGTGTCTTTCTAATATTTGGGAGATTCTACTGAGACAAGCAGAGCAAATACATTGTCTTTTCAGTCAACCAATAGTGTTTGGAATACATATTCTTACTAAATATGTCTCCGTCACCTTTTAAGTTCCTGTACACTTAAAACTGACCTACGGAAAGAAGCAGATGAATATTTCAGATCACAACAGAAGATACCGCAAAAGAGGAAGGATTATGTTGAAAGGATTTTTTTCTGTTGCTGTGGAATTGTGGTTAAGGCTTAGAGTTAAGGTGGGGGGGGACACTTAAATCTTCATATTAGAATTTGAAAGAACTTCAAAGACCTGCTACTGTTTAGTATCAACCAAGTCACCAAAGTTGGGGGTCATAACCCCTGTGCTACCTTACAGTTTGAGCCATCCAAGTCAATGTAAGAAAAGGACCATGAAGCTGGAGAATAGTCTCTGGTAGAAGACAAAGCAAGTGTTTTCAATGATAGAAATGGCATATCTGCTTCCTGAAGGAAAGGTAAAGAGGTCCCAATATATTGGCTATGTTTATTGATGCCTGCATTCAAGGAAAACTTAGTTTTTGTGTGTTTATCCCAGTGAAAAGCCACCAGACTTGGTGTTCTTCCCCTTGGGTTGTCAGAGAAGGGGGGAAGTTGGGGGAAGGTGACATGATGGACGATGACCAGGCAAAGAAAGGATAAGAGCATTTCCTCGAACTCTCACTTTCTGGGCCATAAGGAAGGTGGATGGAGTCTTTCAACAAAAATTTCTATTCCTGAGAGCTATCGTTAGCAATAGAAAAGGAAAACCAAATAAATACTAAAATTTTGATGCTTAATTAATAATTATCTATGATGTTTCTAGCCTGCCAGTTTCTAACCCAACAGACCAACTTCCTCTTCTTTACCCATCTCATTTTAGAGAAAAGTAAATACCAATTCCATGGAATCCAAGAATGTCAAGATTCTGTTTTCTTTAGATTGATTTATATATGCCTACTATGTATGTAGCATGTAGGTATTGTATGTGTTTAGGGAATGTGAAAAGGACCCTACCTCCAATGGAAGTTTTGCATTTATAGCACTGACCATGAGTACATTGTGCAAGGAGTGGTTGTCTATGAAACTATACAGATTTTACTTATCAAAGTCCAAGCAGGTCCTTCAATCTTAGAAAATGGTTCTCAGTGATATAATTATTTGTATTTCACTAATTGTTTACCACACTGTAGCTACATAGGCAAACTCTGAAAGAATATAAAATGTGAAGGGTTAATATAAACACTCAAGGAAGAGTAGTGTACCACTGACAGAAACAAGTATCCTTAAGTCTCCAAGTATTTGGATCGATTAGGCATGAGACAGACACATCATTCTATAACACTAAAAATATTTGCTTATTCTAACCTCCCCCCATATAATGGGAACATAATATGAAATAAAAATACTATTTAATGAAAAACTCACCATATCTGTATCTGAGACAGGGCCAAAACTGGTCACGTAGATGTTAGTGAAGACTTCAGTAATACTGTCTGATATGAGAAAAAGAGATTAAATATAGATAATATATAATGAAAGCCACTGAAAGAGAAGGGGTCAAATACATGGAATGATTAGAAAGCTCTGTGATATTTAAGAATATTGGTTTTTACTTTCTTTTCAACTTTCACAAACAACAAAAATTTCTATAATGCCCAATTATTTCATAGATTCTCACAATCCTAAATGCTAAATTCCTGGAAGCATTATGGCATTTTTACTTGGAAACTATACCTGATTTAGAGCATTTTGTTTTAAACATATTTCTGAGAATTAATAGTTTCTCAGAATCTGTGTTAACTGAACTAGTTTACAATAAATTTACTACCAGTACTAAAAATAAAGTGTGGTTAGTATGGTTGCTATTTGATAGAGTGCTAAATCTGGTTTTTAAACTAAATATTTCAGATGGTACTTCATGATGGTAGAGGTTTAGTTTGTAGATTGTAAATTAGTATATCTTCTCAATAAAGCACAGAAATGAATTGTTATTTGTTAGAAATAAATATAATTCAGATTAATATAAAAAGCTTCATTATTCAGTGACATAAAAATAAAAGCAATTAACAGACATTAATCACAATGGATTATTTCCATACAAACTTGTCTTTAAAGGTATTTACAAATGCATGAAATGTTAAGATTTACTTGAATTAGATTCAAATGTTATGTAACTTATTAACTGTAACACAATTAACTGGATTGCTCTTTTTTTAAAAGATTTTATTTATTTATTTGTTTGTTTATCTCCATATCAAATAAATAAGTAAAATTAAAAAAAAAAAAGAGCTATCCAGTTAACAGAGAGAGACAGCGAGAGAGAGAGCACAAGCAGGTGAAGCGGGAGAGGGAGAAGCAGGCTCCCCACTGAGCAGGGAGCCCCATGTGGGACTCAATCCCAGGACTCTGGGATCATGACCTGAACCAAAGGCAGATGCTTAATGACTGAGCCACCTAGGCACCCCTGAATTGCTCTTTTAGCCCTGTGATTTCGATCTTTTAAGTAAGCCAAATAGTGATGGAGGAAAGGCTCAAAAGGACTTGAAAAGAATAATTCTTCCAATGTACTTACAGAAAAAAAAAAATACATCATTAATTTCTATCATCATGAACTGAGTGTCTCATTTATTATCAAATTTGTAATTCCACAGAAGAAATATCACAAAATATTTTTCATATTATACTGGACACTAATTCAGAACCATAAAAGAGAGAGTAAACTAAGTCTGGGTATACTGTATCCAATATGACCAAAATAAAAAGCAAAAAGGATTTTGAAATAACAGAGCAGACTTTGAATGTTTAGACTTCAAAGTCTTGAAATATAATAATCTGCATGACAATCCTATGAGGTAAGTTCTCTGTTATTATCTCCATATCTACATGTACACTTATCTATACACAGAAAGGTAAGGAAGTGTGCCTAATGACCCACACTTGGTAGAGTGAATAGAGCCAGGTTTTAGAACCCAAGCAATCTGGCTCCTAAGCCCTAAGGGAAAACTAAAGCTAAAAGTGTTTTCTCATTAACTAAGTATTTCTATTCACTGTATTCATCCTAATACTCTGCACCAAAAAAAATGCAGTGTTCCAAATAAATATATTTATTCAGCTTTATTATTTTCTATTCTATTTTATTTTAAAAACTATTTTCATGAAATTTTATCATAAAACTCATCTGGGAAATAAATATGTTTATAAAGTTTACCCTCAGCTGCCAGCTGCCCCTAAGACCTGCCCAGAAAATCAGCTTTGTGGGCATTGTAGCTTGTGCAGTCTCATACAGCCCTGTGCTTGGAAAAGCCCCAAGCTTGCTTTAGTGTCCTGTTTTTCTCTTTTAAAATTCTTAATTATCTTTTGAATAAAGGGCCCTGCATTTGCATCTTGGACTAGGTCCCACAAATCATGTAGCTGATCCTAGATGTGAATTATACACGCTATTAGAAAGAAATTACGAAAATGGAACTCAGGTTTGTTTGCTTTTTCCTCTTATTCATACCAAATCAATACTGTCACACTTACTCAATAAACAATTGAATAAAACTTTAGTTATTACAGATATTGATTTAAAATGTTCCATGAAGAAAAATGGAAATGCTGAGGTAGTCTTCACCTAAAATAGAGGCAAATGAAATTATTCTCCTTAGTCTGAAGTAGCAGAACTCGAGAAGAGAGATGACAAAATGTGGGAATATATTCATGCTGAGGATATGAAGAATATCCATTATATGCCAAATGGCAGGTAAAGGGTATGGAAGGTTGTTATCAGTACCTTGTGGCTGCAAGGAAATGGCAGCTCAGAATCCAAAGAGAAAAAATGAGATTACCCTCAAAGCTCTAAGCACTAAGAGCGACACCTAAAGACACAGAACACAGATATGCAAAATTACCTTAAATAAAGGATTTCATGGTTGATCAACTTTATAAGCACAGTGAAAGAATGGAGGCATTGCAAGGAATATTCTCCAGCTATGCAAGTTCAAAAAAAGGAAAATCAGCAAGACAAACACTGACCATGAATACCCAATAGCTAAGAGACTTGAGAAAGTGATTCTTGGTTATAGCAACAGAGATGTCAACAATCGACATGACTTAGTAAAATATTTTAGGGTGAGGACTACGGATATTTGGTACATCTAACACAGTTTCCTAAGGTTCTATTTTCAAAATGCTACCTCTGATTATGATTTGGCTTTCCATAGAGAAGAGAAGGGAAAAGAAAGAAAGGGGAGGGCAGGAGAGAAGAAAGAAGATTTTAAGCATTTCTGTGATTTGGGGATCTTGTGACACTCATCTGTCGAAGGCCGTAGTATCTTCTGGTTAATTGTTGTTTTCCCATATGGATTTAGAACAGGGTTAAATTGTGTTGCTAATTAATACCTGTTATAATATTGGGAGCCATGGGACAGGTGTCTGTCACAGAGTAGAGAAATGTACTAATAATCTGGCGGCAGCCTCACTCACCGAGGAGTACTCTCCTCTTTAAGTACTGTGAGTTACCTTCTCAAATCCTGATCCCATGGAGTGCACTCACCTTGCAGTGTCCTGACTGGGGGACCTCCACCTTGGCTACTGCCGCTTTCGCTTCCCTTTTTGGTTGATTGTCTACCTGCCTTTAAGTTGCTCTTTAAATGTCCTCTCCTCGGAGCAGAGGTTTGCTATGCCCCTGTATAATGTAAGCCTGCTCCCCTTATTTTCTCCCTGACACTTCCTTTTCATAGGACTTTTTAGAATTTACTTTTATTTTCATGCCTTATTTTTATTTATTTATTTTTTTTTACTCACTTTCTGGTTTTGTTTATGTTTGGTCTGTCTCCCCAACCAGGATTCAGATTCATGAAAAGACAAGGACTATGTCATTTCTGTCCACTGTCCTATCACCAGGGCTTAGCACAATGTCTACCACATATTAGGTGTCCTATATTTAACAAATAATTTCTAACTATAGTTCATGTAGAATGCAAACCTTTTCCCAAGATATTTCACCTACATTACAAATACTATGAATAGCAGAATGAGTACTGCCATTAGTGAAGACAGAGACCAAATTATCCATTGATACAGGGAGGTTGAAAGCCTGGGGAACTGGATCCCAGTGAAGACAATTTATTTTTTTCATTAAAAATAATTTATTGCCAAGAAATGCTAATCATCATCTGAGCTTTCAGTGAGTTATAATCTTTTCGCTGGAAGGTTCTTGTCTCAGTGGTAACAGCTACTAACTGATCAAGGTGCTGTTTGCTGCAGGTTGGGGTAGGTTATATGAAGCAAAAGGAAAGAATATATTAATGAAAAACACTATTTCAGTGGAAACCAAAATTCAATTTTTGAACAAACAATAAGTGGCTTTTAACATAAATGTATACCATGAGTTACCTCAAAATAATTGTTTGTAAGCTAAATTCTTGGCTTTAGACATGCCAACAGCAAAATATGCAGAAGAGAATCTTCTATATAGGTTTTTCCAAGGCAAAAACACCAGAAGGTTAATAATAAGTAGTTGAGGAGAAATAAGGGCTGCATGTAGTACAGGTGTGATTCTAGGATGCCTAAGTGGCCCTTGCCTTCTGCCATCTGCCTTCAGCTCAGGTCATGTTCCCAGGGTCCTGGGATCTAGTCCCGCATCAGGTTCCCTGCTCAGAGGGGAGCCGGCTTTTCCCTCTGCTTGCCACTCCTCTGCTTGCATTCTCTCTCTCTCTTTCTCTCTCTCTCTCTTTGACAAATAAATAATAATGAAAATAAAAGCATCAGAAAAACAACAACAACAACAGGTGTGATCTTTAGGAACAATCATCAAATTCAGGATTTGAAAGGCAGTTATCACTGGGGAGAGAGGAAGGGAATAACCTTCTCAGGGTTACAGAGGGGGTTTCTAATGGTTTCTAATGTATTCTATTATTTTCCTTTTTTTTTTAAATTGATCTTAATTTTGGCAAATTCTAAGATTTGATGAAACTGGTCATCAAATAAATCATACTATTTTCTGTACTCTTTGGAATGTTTGAAATACTTCATAAAAAAAAATAATAAATGGCCCTGAAGGATATCCAAAATGAACATGTAAATAATTTCAAGAAAGGCTTAGGGGTACCTGGGTGGCTCAGAGGGTTAAGCCTCTGCTTTCAGCTCAGGTCATGGTCTTAGGGTCCTGGGATCAAGCCCCACATTGGGCTCTCTGCTCGGTGGGGAGCCTGCTTCCCCCTCTCTCTCTGCCTGCCTCTCTGCCTACTTGTGATCTCTCTCTGTCAAATAAATAAATAAAATATTTTTTTTAAAAAGAAGGCTTAAATTAGTTGGAAAAAAAACTGTTCTTCATTACGTAATGCTGCATACAATAAAATTAAATTGTTATTTAAATTTTAGTTAACATACAGAGCAATATTAGTTTCAGGAGTAGAATTCAGTGATTCATCACTTACATATAATACCCAGTGCTCAATCACAAGTGTCCTCTTTAATACTCACCATCCATCTAGCCCATCTCCCACTCACC